ACACATACATATATACATACATGCATACGTGCATACATATACATAAACATACCCATACATGCATATACACCTACATACATATACATACATATATATATGTTCATACATGTACATACATATACCTACATGTACATATGAATACATTTACATATACATACATCCGTATACATACATATACACATACATACATACATACATACATACATACATACATACATACATACATACATAAATACATACATGCATACATACATACATACACACATACATACATACATACATACATACATACATGCATACCTGCATACATACATACATACCTACATACATACATGTACCAGAATAGAGGGCCATGGACCTCCAACAATGGGGCCTTGACAGGGCATCGCGGCTCGGGGCCTCCGACGCTCACACGAGCGGCCCCGGGAGCGTCCCGGATGGTGCCCGAGACTCGGTACGGAGCGCCGGGTGGCATGAGGAGGCCTCGACGAGCCCCCCCCCCCCAGACAGCCCAGATGGCACCGACATGCCGTAGATAGGCCCAAGACATCCAGTAAGCGGCCAACAAGGACCCCCAGAAAGCTACAGAAAGTCCCCCGAGAGAGCCCCGAGAGGCAACAAAAAACAGTTTTTGGCCTTCTCACGTTTTCAAGCTTCCAACGCTGTAAGAAGGCCGAAGAGACCCCCAAGTCCTCCCCAAGATGGCCAAAAAGGCTTCCAAGAGAGCGCCAAGACAACCCACGAAAGCCTCGAGACTGCCCAGGATCCGCCCAAGACTGCCCAAAAGCGTCCCAGCACATGCCCAAGATAGGCCCAAGAGGGGGAACAGGAAGCCCCAAGAGGCTGCCGAGACGCCTCCAGGACCGTCCCGAGGCTCCCAGCAGACCCAAGAAGCAGCCCCAAGAGCTTCCAAAAACAGCCCCCAAGAGGCCTCCAAGCTGCCTCCCCAGAGCCCCCTTACAAGCCTCCAAACTGCCTTCCGATCCGGAAAAATAGATCCTTTAGAACATTCACCATCTGGGTCCTCACAGCTCCAAGACGGCTCAAGCTGCTCCACCAAGATTGCTTCAAGACTGCCAACTGGGCCCTCACTGAGGCATCAAAGTTGCCCAAGAGAGGATGAAGACGGCCCAAGAAAGGCATCAAAGTTGCACAAGACGCCCCTCCCAAAAGAAAGCAAAATAAAAAGTTGCTCTTTTCGGATAGCGGTCGCACTGAGATAAATTGTGTGCCGATCATGCTCCCAATGCAACGTCCTGTGAGCTGAGATTGGCGTGCTTCGGGTCAATGCTCGGATCTCGGATCGCTGCTCTCAATGTATGGCCGGCCATTTCGATGTAGTGTTTCTGGTTAGTACCCGCGCTGCTGTACTGTCTCTCTCTCTCTCTCACTGTCCCTCCCCCTCTTCGAACCATTTCTCTATACCTTTCTCTCGCTCGCTGTTTGCCAGCTTTTCCCATGCCTGCTGCGTCGGACACGACAGAGACTGCACGGTTTAAGTGTTTAGTTCCTGGAGCCAGGCAACATGTGTTTTACATCGTTCTAGTTCAAGATCTTGCGCCTGAGCTCCGCGGGGATGAATGCCTACTATTTGCAGCTGACCTCCTCTGATTGTACATCACAAGCAGCTCACGCTCGGCACGCCAATCATAGTTTCAAAAGCAGCTCGTGCTGCAGACGGCCTTCCCTTTGCATTCCGTCACTTCTCTGTTCACGGCGGCGGCCACCTTGAGCGATCTTCGGCACTTGGGAGCGGCGTGTGGTGTGGTGGAAAGAAAAAGATGGCCCGAAAAGGATAATTCGAACTCACATTTCGAGCTCTCCGCCTCAAGGGGGCCCCAGAGATTGTCAGCTGGCCCCCAAGAAGCCTCCAAGATGCCCCCAGGACGCCCCAAATTTACTTGGAATAGGCCCCCAAACGGCCCTTCAGAGGTCCACGAGGCTTCACGATTGCGTCAAGATGCTCCCCAGAAGATTCCCAAGAGACCCGAACATGTATCCAACAGGCCTCTGACCCAGAACCCAGCCACAGTGGCGGTACCCTCCCCTTTCCCCAGCCTTTTTACATTTTGCCCCAAGCCATCTTCAAGCGAGCCACACGAGAGTCCCAAGAGACAATTTCCAAGAGAGGAACATCACGGCTCAACAATTCCCCAAGAGACATTCCCCAAAAACGCAACAATACATTTACCTCGTTCGCAGACATCTGGGCTCAAGAAAGCAGCTTCGGAGCTTGAGCATGTGTCTCTGACCTCTCTCTTGCTCTGCGCAAGCGGCAGCTCGCAGATCGGCGGTTGTTAGGATATGGTCCCCGATGGCGGGATCTTGCGGGGGGTGCCCATCAATTTGGTGCAGCCAGCGGAGCAGGTAGCGGCGGTAACATGTCTAGTCGTATTGTTGGGGAGAGATATAAGGAATCTTCGCGCAGGATCTGGCTCGTGTGGGCGCGTGGTCAATGTAAAAGGAATTCGCACGCACGGTCGGAAGAGTTCTCCGCATCAATTGTGCCGGAGACCGTGATGTGTCTTCCAAGCGAGCGCAAAGCAAAGGCATGGCTATAGGCCTTCTGGTCTGCCAACATGCCAAATGGCCCCTGATGACCGTTCCCTTTTGGAGGTCGGATGATGATGGGAACTTTTTTTTCCTGTGGCATTACACAGTTTTCTTCATATACGCGTCTTTCGTGTCAATTGCTTCCAGTCGGCACGGACGTCGGGTACAGCATGCAGGGTACTCGGTTTTCATGATATCGTATTGTCTGGGGCTATCACCGCTAGTGCTTACTTCTGGGCATAATCCCGAGTGCTACATACGGCGGGCGGTGTGGGCTTCGGGGACGTTTACGTGCTATGGCATTTCCTTACCCCTCAATACTCTCGGGAATTGCATGATCTGAGTTCCCTCCTACTAACGGCACATGGTCACAGCTCTGGAGCGTGCAACGACGAAGATACCATGGGATTTATTATGGCATTTCCGTGTGGACAATTCTGTGTAACGTTATTTCCCAACCCTCCTGCGTTGGGTTCTCGTTTTGAATAGAGCACTGCTCGCGCGTCTCCTTCCTTCCCTTCTTCCTTCCCTCCTTCCCCCTGCCTTTTACTCTTCCCCCCTGCCTTTTACCTCGCTCGTCGCTGCGTGCCAGCCTGCCTCCTACCTGGTCATCCCTGTGCCACTTTCGAGGGCTGCTGGGGGCTGCGATCTGTGAAACTGTCGCCACTTTCGAGGGCTGCTGGGGCTGCTGGGGGGCCCAGCACAGTGGGCACCCACCGCGGATTCAAATTAGACCTCGCCATCCCTGGGGGGCTGCGATCTGTGAAACTGTCGCCACTTTCGAGGCCTGCTGGGGGGCCCACCACAGTGGGTACCCACCGCGGACTCAAATTAGACGTCGCCATCCCTGGGGGGCTGCGATCAGTGAAGCTGTCGCCACTTTCGAGGGCTGCTGGGGGGCCCAGCACAGTGGGTACGCACCGCGGATTCAAATTTGACCTCGCCATCCCTGGGGGTCTGCGATCTGTGAAACCGTCGCCACTTTCGAGGGCTGCTGGGGGGCCCACCACAGTGGGTACCCACCGCGGACTCAAACTATACCTCGCCATCCCTGGGGGTCTGCGATCTGTGAAACCGTCGCCACTTTCGAGGCCTGCTGGGGGGCCCGGCACAGCGGGTACCCACCGCGGACTCAAATTAGACGTCGCCATCCCTGGGGGGCTGCGATCAGTGAAGCTGTCGCCACTTTCGAGGCCTGCTGGGGGGCCCAGCACAGTGGGTGGGCGACTCATTAGACCTCGCCACGATCCTGTCGGATCTGGAAAGGTCGCGAGCTGAAAGTTCGCCATCGAGGCCTGCTTACCCACCGCGGACTCAAATTGACCTCGCCATCCCTGGGGAGCTGCGATTTGTGAAACTGTCGCCACTTTCGAGGCCTGCTGGGGGGCCCAGCACAGTGGGCACCCACCGCGGACTCAAATTAGATCTCGCCATCCCTGGGTGGCTGCGATCTGTGAAGCTGTCGCCACTTTCGAGGCCTGCTGGGGGGCCCAGCATAGTGGCCACCCACCGCTGACTCAAATTAGACCTCGCCATCCTTGGGGGGGCTGCGATTTGTGAAACTGTCGCCACTTTCGAGGCCTGCAGGGGGGCCCAGCACAGTGGGTACTCACCGCAGATTCAAATTAGACCTCGCCATCCCTGGGGGGCTGCGATCTGTGAAGCTGTCGCCACTTTCGAGGCCTGCTGGGGGGCCCAGCACAGTGACGCCACACGCAGATTCAAATTAGACCTCGCCATGCCTGGGGGGGCTGCGTTCTGTGAAACTGTCGCCGCTTTCGTGGCCTGCTGGGGGGCCCAGCACAGTGACGCCACACGCAGATTCAAATTAGACCTCGCCATCCCTGGGGGGTGCGATCTGTGAAACTGTCGCCACTTTCGAGGCCTGCTGGGAGGCCCAGCGCAGTGTCGCCACGCGCGGGCCCAAGTTAGACCTCGCCATCCCTTGGGGGGCTGCGATCTGTGAAACCGTCGCCACTTTCGAGGGCTGCTGAGGGGCACAGCACAGTGGGTACCTACCGCAGACTCAAATTAGACCTCGCCATCCCTGTGGGGGGCTGCGATCAGTGAAACTGTCGCCACGTTCGAGGCCTGCTGAGGGGCACAGCACAGTGGGTACCCACCGCAGACTCAAATTAGACGCCGTTTTCGTCCTTGTTCTCCTCCTGCAGTCACCTTCCCTCTGCTGCTGCCGTGCTGATGGTTCGGCTTCCCGCACGTTTTTCTCCTGCTCTGCGCTCCCGACTCCCCATGTCCTCTTCGAACCTGTAGCTGTCGCCCCTCGTTCTTGTATGGTTCTCCTGCGCATCATGCCATAGGCGCGTGTCCCAAGTAGCTTGCACGTCAAGTTGATTGTCCATGCAAGTTGCGGCCAACTCCTCGTTTCCATTGATACAAATGGGTCGGGTACGTCACAGGGTAATTTTATTCAGGGGGTGTTTGGCGAGATGCAGACGTTGACAACCAAGAGCGAGCTAAAGGCTGCAAATTCTATCCAGGGCACGTGTGACGCTGTGATCGTACTCGACCAGGAGCTGAAGGTCATTCATGGCGAGCAGTCCGTCGCGAACATGCTGATGTTAACCCCATCGAAGGTCCAGAGCGAGAGCGAGACCCCATCAAAGGTCCTGATCGCCGAGGAGGAGCGCGACAGACTTGCTGAGATGGTGCATGGCGCCCGATCCAGCGCGATGCCAGGGCCGTACGCCGCTTTCAACACCTCCCTGAAGGACAGTGCCGCTATCCCGTGCAGCGTCGAGGCGATGTGCGTGAAACACCTGCAGGCCTTAATTCGGACCCCCCCATCGAAGGCTCACAAGTGCCGTCCTGGGGCCCTATTGGCCCGCTGTTGGAGCGCTCTTGGGCGTTCTTGGGGGCCGTCTTGGGGCCCTTTTGGACCCCTCTTGGGGCTATCTTGGACCGTCTTGGGGCCATCTTGAGGCCTCTAGAGCCCACCGGAGGCGAAAAAACGAGAAGGCAACAAACATTGGTTTTCCTTGGGTTTTTGAAGGAGTTTGGCCTCTTGGGGGGGTCTTCGGAGGCCTCGGACAGAAACCGTCTCGGGGCCGTCTTGAGGCCTCTTAGACGTGTGTCGGAGGCTATCTTGACCCATCTACCGCTATCTTGGGCAATCTTGGAGGCCATCTTGCGCTCTCTGAGGCCTTCTTGGAGCCATCTTGGGCCATCTTGGACGCTGCTATGGGTCGGCCCCCCCCCGTCCAAGCGCATGGAGGGGGGGGAGGTAAACCACCCAAGCAGGGAAAGGAAGGAGGTTGGAAAAGGAAACGCCCTAGACCACCTGCGCCCAGAGGGCTGGTGGGATTCGGCATTGCCCTTTTGTGCGCTAGTCTGGACTGCTTCCCAGGCGCATGCTTCGTACAAGCGGCGCAGTGGGCTCATCGTAGTGCGCATGGGCGTCTGGGTCCTTGACACGCTTTGGAGTCATCGTTCGCATATCTTCCGAAGAACGTATGCACCATCCTTGCTTTGTGTTGCCGTTCTTCATGCGTTTCGGATTCTTCCGAATTCACATTTCTCCAGGTTCTGATATACGATCGTTTGCTCCTGTTTTAACATTGACGAAGGCGCACAGGGCAGCGGCGGTGCGATCGACCAGCCTCCAAGCAGTTGCTTCTAGGCGCTCTGCCCAGACCCCCCCGACGTCGTGATTTTTGTTCGCAACGTCGACCCCCACACGTCTGGACCCCTTCCCCGGGACCAGTTGTTCGTCCTGAGTCGCTTTTTGACGGTCCCGAGGGCCAATCAGGGCCTCTGACTTTAAGGGTAGCTCTTTGGGAGATGTTACAGCATCGGGAGCATAGCTCGCGCGCCGTTGCCTTTGGCCCAAGGCACGCGCGCCCTATTTGCCCGGACACCGCGAGTGTTCGCTATGTGCTGGAAAGATCATTACATCGATCTTATCTTATCTTATCCGTCCACCCCTCATACTGTACCTTCACAGCAGAGCGATGGACGCAATTTGCCAGGCTATATGCCACATTTGAGCTACCAGGCTCACTTTCGACTTGGTAGCGGAGCTGGCCGCACTCTCGTGTGGTCAGCTCTTGCTCTTCTTAGCCTCATATTATTCGGCACGATTTTCGTGACTATCTACCACCCTGCGCCACCACTCCCAGTACGTTTACGAGGATCTATCCAAGAGCAAGAAGCAACACGAGAGGTACGACGTCTAGACGACCAGACTGGTACCATATACGCTTCATCATTGCGTTACCACCAACCGCTCGGCAACGAGCTAACAGCGCAATACTTGAAGCAGGGGCGGGGAGACCCGCCAGACAGAGCGCCTCGAAGACTCGACAAGGCGCTACCCCAGCGCGACAACGCGCATCATAACCGTCCTTCGTTACACATTCTCGGGCTAGTCGTTTTCGCTATTATATGGTTCGCGCTGGGGGCAGCAATCGGACACATGCGTCGTGGAGAAAACAGCACCGATGGGCAAACACATGGCCCATATTGGGACCCTCAAGGTAATGTACCTTTTCGTGAGTACATCTACGAGGTCAACGCATGGCTCAACGTTACAAGCGGACGTATGACGCCACAGGCCCAAGCGGCCGCAATACAACGCGGCCTAGGTGGCCTAGCGAGGACACTCGCCATGAGGGTACCGCCTGACATTATAAACTATGGTGCTGACATCGATGGGGTCCACACAGACCCAGTGACCTACATCATGTTCCTCCTAAGCATGAAGTTCGAACGCCTGGAAGATGAGCGACAGCTCACTTCCGGCACACAACTCATCGACTTCCACGTGCCTCACGGGGAACGAATCGATGTCACCCTTGCCCGATTCGAAATGGCCCGACTTGAGGCACAATCGGTGGGACTCGACCTTCCCAACTTCCAACTGCTAACCACTATCCTATTCCGCGCCTTAGGCGTCGGCAACCAGCGAGCCATGCAACTCTTACAGCCACTCAATCACCAAATGCCCCGAACACAACGACAGTATGATGAGTTGCTGGAGAGGATGCGTTCGATAGGCCACCTATCCGAACGGTCTCCTGGTAACATAGGATCTGTGTTTGGAAGGGGAAGGGGATCTGGTAGTGAAAATTTCTACACTACCTTGACTACTGAGGCCCAGCCTGGAAACGGGCCCTCAAACATATGGGCCGATGACCCAGGTGAATCCACTGCGTCATTAGCAGGGGATCGATCACAACCAAGCTGGGCAACCAGCCCTCCTTCTAGAGAACCACAACCACACCGTTCTTTATGGGGGAATCAATCCCCCTAACCGACGGTGTATCCACCTACTTGGGAGACGAGGATTTCGACTCCGGCACCGATACAGACACTATATCATCAGATGGTGTTGAAGCTTTAGATTGGTCAGATATTATGAATATGGATAACGACAATCAGCGTGCTGAGCATTTGTTCTGGTTATTACAACAGGCTAAACGAAGGTGGAGGAGGTTCACACGAAAACCAGTGCGTCGTGTTAGAAGGAGGATACGTAGAAGTTTTAAAGGAAAGGGTAAAGGCAAGCGAGGTCGTCGGAGGTTGAACGGACGAGGTATCGCGGCATTTCTCCAGAGGCTCTCAGATGAACAACATGATGAGATATTCTTTGGGGGAAAAGGCCGTGGTAAGGGCCGTAGAGAGACCTCAGGAAAAGGCAAAGGAAGGCGGGGAAACCCGCGAGGTAGAGACGGCCAGGTTCTCAAATGCCATGAATGTGGTAGTTCCGATCATCTTGTGCGAGATTGTCCAGTGAAGGGAAATGGAAAGGGCAGGTCGACCGAAGTCCATTTTGGCTCAAGTGAACCATCCATTGAGTATCTGAGCCTCCAGGACTTTGAGGCTATGGAGCAGATATTTTTCACTTGGGTTGTTGGCGTGGACAACGTCGACGAGCTCGAGGCGTATGGTCATGGATTGTACGCGTACTACCTCGAGTACGTCCGCCGGTTCGTTATGGGCAGTAACGAGCTCACTCCCGTGGACCAAGGTACGCTGGGAAACCAGCCTCTTTCGTTCTTCGACTGGATGTTCGGGAACCCAGGCAACATCATGGCCTACGAGAGCGACGACGAGGACACCACTATAGAGGCTTCGCCTTCCGAGGTTCAACGGAACCTCGAACCTCCGCCCGAAATCCCGCCTGGAAACAGGCCGTCGTTGATGGGAGAATATCCCCAGACCACTGAAGACTTAATTGAAATGGAGTCTTAGGCATTTGTTCAGGCCTTCATTGCAGGCGAACCAGATACTCCGTTCATACCTCCTGGTTCGCTTGCTCCAGGCGAATATGGACCACGCACCCTTTTGCAGACCCTCATGAGGATGCATGAGATACTTGTTACTGGTTATCATGAGAGTCAAGAACATATCGAAGCTGACATTATGACAGAACAGGATACTGATGCTTGCGGTAGCTCAGAGCTGTTGTTGGCAGCTCTGACCCTCGTTGACAGCGTGCATCCTCAGGGCGTGCAGAGACACTTGATATACTCCCGTGGTAGATGGCGTAATGCTTTAGAAATGGCTATTGCTATGCGCGGTCATGATCTTCCTCCGCCAGGATGGGGACTCCAGGCGGTGGGAATGAGGCCAAACCATACGGCCATGCGCAACATTGCTGGGCAGCCTGTGCTCGGCAACGAGCCTGAGCCGACAACAGTGCCTCCTACTCCGGGACAGCCGAGCGACGCACAGACGCCGGCTATGCAGGGAAACCTGCCTGTATCAGATACGCCAATGGCCATCATCATTGGTAGTTCGACATCAGAAGAAGTAGAAGGCGATGGTTGCGGGTTAGATGAGGATGACGTCACCATCCTCATGATGGACATGAATGGTGAGGAAGAGGTTGACTTCGATCCTGATGAGTCTGAATCATCATCACCATCGGCACAAGCGCCATTTGCGCCGAGCTCCACCCAGCAGGGAGACCTGCCTCCATCGGACGATCCATCTGGGATCGCACAGGAGCCTCCTCAGGCACCTCCACCGGGTGCCGCTCCTGCTGCTTCGGCAGCTTCTTCGGATGAGAACACCAGAAGGTCTCGTTCCCATACGCGCGTCAGAGAAGAGCCACATCCACAGGCGCGACTTCCTCGTGAGTGGAGGCAGGCTGGCCCAAAAGAACACGCTCTTAGGAGAGGTGGCCAGCTACTTCCGTACAACGACCCAAGACGCCGAAAAGGGGAACACTCGGCCTTCGGCAAGGGCAACCCTGCCTATAGGGACAGTGATGGCAAGGCCATCCGCGGAGGCTATCAGCTTGCAACAAATACCCGCCGCCCTGAAATTCAAGAGGCGCGGACTCAGCTGCGAGACATTATCGCGGCGCGCAAGCAGTATAGGCCTCACGCAGCATGCGGACCTTGTTCCCAGCCGTTCCAGAACCACAGACCAGGATGCCCCGTTGGCAACAACGAAGGCCTGAGCCCCAACAGGGGCAAAACCCCTCATAAAGAGGGCCATCCGCAACTTATCCCGATGACGCAGGAAGAGATCGCAGAAGTGAATCGTCGTCTCGGGATCTTGAGCCACTTGGATCCGAAAGAAGAAGAAAAGCCTACCCCGGTTCCAAGGGGACTGGTAGCCATGACCCAGGAAGAGAAAGACGCGCTCTTCAGTCTTCCTAGTATGCGAGGAAACTCGCCTGGCGTCTCTAGCCAGTCCCAACAACCAGAACCGACAATCAAGGATGAGAAAAAGGTTCAACGTGTGGCGGAGGACGAGGAGCGTATGCGGACAGCAGAAGACCGCACTCGCGAGGCAACTCGCAATATGTTGGAGGATTCTAGTAAGATCTACATGAAGAGGGCTACGAGGCCCCCACTCCCAC